TTTTTAAACTTTGTTTTTAGTCTAATAGTAATATAATTTGTATTTGAGCACCAACAAGACTATCAAAGAATTAAAAAAAAAAAAAAAAAAAAATGTTCTGTAAGTATATATATAAGAAAGAAAATACTTAATGATAATTAAATAATGAATTATTTATTAATTATAATATTATATTTATAGATAGTTGCAACAACAAGTAGAAGACTAGGCAGCAGTGATTGCAGAGCTTAACCATATGGCTCTTGATTATTTGCAACAATTCGTTCATCAAGAGCAGGAGTAAGAAGCTCTTATTGAAAAATGAGATAGATATTGGACTTGGTTTGAGGAGCGTGATGCTGCTTACTGAGATTTTTTTTGTCAGTTCGAGGAAGAAAGAAGAAGAAGAGAAAGAGATGATAATGAAAGAAGAAGGGTGGAAGAGGAAAATGAGAGGGGAAGAAGAGGTTGGGGTGTTTTTGTATATTGAATAGTTTCTCTTTTTTATTATCTTTTTCTATTTTCTTAGGATTTTTCTTTTGTAAATAAAAATAAAAAATTTTGCTTTTTTGAGTTTTTTGTCTTTTTTTAAAATTTTCAGAGAAAATTCTTATTTTTTTTTCAATTCTTCTTTCTCTTTTTTTTTTGTTAGAGTCTTCTGGCTCTAACTATTACTTAGGTAATGTCTTTTTTTTGGTTTGGATCAGGGTTTCCTAGGCTTCTGGGTCAGTTTCGGTCATTTCGGCATTCATGACGTAAGTCATGTGATCAATGCTTATAAATATATTAACCGATCATCTACTGATTTCAGTTTTTTTACTCTTTTCATTTTTACATTTTCTAGTTTATACTCTTTGGTCTTTCATGTTTTTCTTCAGGTCTTTTCCATTTTGGTTGATATTTCTAGTATTTAGTCTTGTTTCACCTCAAGCTTTGGATCTTTTACAGATTGTCGAATTGGATCTTCTTGGTTGCTTGCTCTTGGATGTGTTGAAAAAGTAGATTTTGGGTATGTGTTCAGGATCTTGGTTCTAGTACAGTTTTCTTTTGCTATTTCTGAGTCTAATCTAGGCTTGGTTTTGTCTTTTCGGTCTTTCTCTATTTGTTGTTTTGGCATCGTACTAGGCAGGATTTAAGATTTTTCGCCATTTCTCTAGATCTTTCTAATACTTTAGATATTAGAATAGATCTGTAGTAGCTTTGGTGTTCATGCGACGTCTTGAAACTTGGGAGTATTATTAGTTTGGTTTAGTTTTTTTTTTTCTTTCTTTGTCTTTATTTCGCACTTTCTTTTTTTCAGGGTGCTACTTTAGAAATTGTGATTTTAGTCATTCCTGGAGTTTTTGTCATGGGTGCCATCGTCGTAGATGCAATTTTACAGCTTTATTAAAAGTTATTTTCATTATTTCTTCTTCTTTTTTTTTTTTCCAAGATTTTAATTCTAGAACCGTGGAATTGTCTATTTCGTTGTTGTGAAAACCATTGTTTTGTTGAAGTCAAGTATCCTTTTTTTTGAAGAAATTATATTAGCAGGTTGTGTTCTACTATTACTAAGATATCGTTATTAGAATTTCTGTCATTTGGAGTCTTCATTTCCGAAAATCGGCATCATGTTTTTGGTGTCATCATGGATGCTATAATATGTTGATATTATCGGAGTCTTGGCGTTTTCATAGTAGTTTAGCTTCTTCCGAGTAAGTTACTTAATTTCATAGCTTTTACTTAGAGCTTTCATTATTCGTTTTCTTGACATTTTGACGCTTTGAGATCACCTGTGATTTTGGTATTTCAAATAAGCAAATCCTGTATTTACTTATTTTCTTCCGGCTTGATATATGTAGAGGCTATGCCTTGAATTCGAAAGAATGTAAGATGGTGGAGCGATGTATCCTTTCGATTTTTTTTTGGAAAAATTTTAGTTTCTTCTCTTTTTTTTTTGATAATTGGTATAAAGCTTCTGATTATTCAATGGAGTGGTTTGTTTCCTAACAGGAACTATGGAACTTTAAGAGTGTTTAGAGTTCTTTAGGTAGAGTATTAAAAGTACTCTTGAGATCTTGTTTCTATTTTGTAGTATATTTGACTAACTCTTTCCACTTTTATCAAGGCATAGTTAAGCAAAAATGCTAGGTCAATACAGGAATAAAAGACTTTAGAATGAAAATGTTGAGAACTGGAACTAAGTTTAGATTATGGGCCAAAATCAGAATATGAAATACGGGGATTTATAAAACGATATATTCTTTTTACTTTTGTTCTTTGATTTGTTTTGCTGTTTTTTTTTTTTATTTTTTATTGTTTTATTTTTTAATATATATATTTCACTTGTCCTTCTTTTTTTTGACTTAGCTCTTTTTTTTTTTTGCTGAGGTTCAAGGCAAGAATTTGGAATTATTCAGGTCTCTATTGAAACCTTAAAAGAGACAGCTTCCGGGTGATTAGAAGTTGGGGTTTCTTGGGCCTTGGAGGTGAATACAATATCAAATAGCTGAATGTTACAGATATGTGTTAAAATTGGAACTTTGGCGCTGTTAGGTTGAAGAGAATTTATAGGCTTGCTTCTTTCCGAGTTTTGTTGAGAACTTTGTGGGAGCAATATATTCTTTTTTTTTTTTTTTTTTTTTTTTATTAACTAAGGTTCTTTTTCTGATTTTCTTCTCTTGACTAATTGGCATATAGCTTTTGTTCTTTAATCGAATGTAGTAAAGTAGTAATCGGCTAGTTAATAATATGTAATGAAAACTTCTGGTTTCTGAAAAAGAACAGTTCAAAGAAACATTGTTCTTGAAGACTGAGGAACTTTAAAAGTTCTCCAATTAGAACTTCTAAACTTCGATTGTTGTTACTAGGCACAGGACAAATGTCCTAGTAGGTAGGTATTATCAGATGGTTTAAAATAGGATTTTGCTATCAATAGATTGTAGTTTAGTATTTAGAATAAAAAGGAATCTAATAGTTAAAAACAAGGATTTGGTATATTAAGGATTAGAATTAAGAATGAATCGAATAAGGTTTGGATCAGGAAGAGAATGGTATCTAGTGCTATAATGGAAGAGAATTCAAATAGTTTGAAACAGGTTTCTAAGTTAGGGTTAGAGAATCGGGATTATGAATTCGAATTAGAAATAAGTTTTTTTTTTTTTTATTATATAATGTCATAGTAGAAACTTTATTACAGTCAGTCCGAAGATTGAAAGTTATCTTATA